TTTTTAATAAATTATTTAAAAATTACGTTCAGCCATGGAGCATAATATTTAATGCTTTCCTTAATAAATCATTTCCCCCTTTTGGCATTTTGCAACCCTTTGAACCACTCCGATTGGTCAAGTCACCGTCCGGACTGAATCAACAGTTTCTCTGGCAATTTGGCGGGTCAGATTCAACTCGAAATGAACGCAAATGCGAAAATTACACCCCAAGCGACCAATTTAAAGCCATTAAATTATAATTTTGTAAATTTTAAAGAGCCTATGCCCGTTCAGCCAGATATGCCAGAGATGCCCAGAAATGCCCAGAGACTATGGACGAAGACACCCGAACGAACGCATTATTCAATTAGTGTGAAATGCGATTGTTTATTTTCGGAGTAGAATTGTGGCACGTCGTTTATTTTGTTGTCTTTAGTTGGCTTAGTACAGAATTGCGGCGATTGCTCAACACTGGCGGAAGCAAGTGACGACGACGACGACAACAACAACAAAAAAACAGTTAATTGTAAACGAAAAGTGAAAAACACAAATAGAAATAGAAGTGGATGTAGGTGTAAGCTGTAAGTGGTAAGTGGTGAGTATATATGTGTGTGTCTGTGTGCAGGTTACGTTTATCTGCTTTAATCTGCGCTTGCAACTGTCCCCAACTGACACTCATAATTAAAGAAACAAATAAAGCACACACAGCATAACAGACGACACCAGCAACAGCAACGCCAGCAGCCTCCACAGCCTCGCAGCGACCACATTAACATAGTGCAAGAAAATAATAACAACAACAACAAGCACAAGAGTAGCAACGGCAACGGCAAYAGCAGCAGCAGCAGCGACGACGACGACGACGACGGCACTTGTCGTGTCTGCGCGTCTGCGCGCAGCGACGCGTCGCTACGTCCGATTTCCAAGGCAGCGCAAAGCTTCCAGCTGCTGTCGCTGCGGCTGCGGCTGCGCTGCCTTGACTTTGACTTTGGTCTGGAGCTTTTAAGCTGGCGTCGCAGCCGCTGCCGGCGTTGGTAACTTCTTCGTGTCTGCAAACGGCTGCTGTCTTAGTTCTTAAGTCCGTCGTTGGCGTGCTCCTCTTCAGTTCGTTGCTGACCAACGTAACGTGCGGACGTGCCCAGCTCGCCTCCACAAACGAACCAAAAACAAAAAGAAGAAAGAAAATTTGAACAAACCGAAATAAAACAGAGCAGCGAGGCGAAATACAGTGCAAATTTTAACATTTAATGGTAAAATATATAAATATAAATCGAAAATCTGATACGAGTGCGCGACGCGTGTGTTGAAACGGAACAAATATGAAAATTAAATCAAATAAATAATAATATATTAAATAATGAATAATAATAATTAGGTCTAATGTGTTGCATTTAATATATACGTTATTTTATGCGCCTGGCCAAAAGAAAAGAAAACTGTTCAAGAATTTCACCAACTCGCTAGTGTTGTTGTTGTTGTTGTTGCTGTTACGGTCTCGATCTCTCGTAGAACGTCGCTTCAATGGGGTTTTTTGTGTGTTTGCTGTTTGGGGCTGTGACGGCGTTGATTTTGTCCATGTCCAGCCCAAAGGAGATGGAGGGGCAGCTCTCTGTGTGTGTGTGTGTGTGTGTGTGGCAGTTGTTGTCCATGTCCAAGGCGCGGCCAGCGGCGACTGTAATTTCTGTCTTGCGCATTCTAAACACACACACACACACACACACACACACAAAAACACACACTCACACTCGAAAAAGCAAACAAACAAACAAACAAACATGGAACGCAGTCAAGTGAAGACGAGTTGCAGGCAGAGCTGCAGAGGAGCAGAGCCGGAGAGCGGGCAGAGAGTCAGAGAGTCAGAGGCAAGCAGATGAAGACACTCCTGCCTTGGCTAGTTTGGGAGGAGATGCAGATGCAACAACTGCAGCAGCAGCAGCCGCAGCAGCATCAACTGTTGCTGCACATGTGTTAGCGCTCTCTCGCTCTAGCACGCTGCATTGCCATATTGGGCGCATAACGGTGCAAAAATCGCGTTGCTTTTTAGCCTCTATCCATGTGCATGTGTCGCTCTGTGTATGTGTGTGTGTGTGTGTGTGTGTGCTGCTTTTTATGCTGCCAAGTTTATGTCCATGGCTGCTGCATTGATGACGACCCAGCGACCGATAGACCAACCAAAGTGCGATCAAGCGAAAACCGCAAAAAAATAAGAAAAATTGGGGAGGGGAAGAACAGCATCAGAATCGAAATAAAAAATGAGCAAGAAAAATGCGCTCTGCAACTCCATTTGCAGTTTTGCGGTTGTTTGCAGCAGCCGCAACACTTCACCCAAAGACACACACCAACACACACACACACACGCACTCATACGCACACCCGTTAAGTGTGTAGCTTGGCACTTGGCATACCATTGGCCACATCCTCGACTCGCATCCTGCTGCTGCTCCTGTGAGTGGGTCAGCGTCAGCAATCAATCTGCCGGCCTTCGCTGCTTCGCCGATTGAATGCCTGCGCCTTGGGCAGCGTTTGGCGACGCCCCCTGCACTTGCACTTTGACCGCAATGCAAATAATCATCATTTGGCAGGACTTGTTCAGAGCGAGAAGAAAACATAATAAATTACAAAATAAACCGCTAGCAGCAGCAACAGCAACGTGACTACACTGAGCGAAATCGGATGTTGATTGGGGAGATATAGGAAAAACTATGAAGAGAAAATATAGAGCAAAAGATAGATGGCGATATAAAAGTTTTGGTAGATTAATTAATATACTCTCCAATTCCCTACGAATTTTAGTCCAAAATGCATTTAAAGTGAGCTGAGGAACTTGATAAGAGCTGAGAAAACTTTTCTTACTTCATTTTAATGCAGCTGCAAATATTCGCATAAAAATATATTTTTTTAGGGATTAAATATCAAACATATATGATTGAGTAATTGTGTTTTTATATATTTTTAACATTTATATTTTTTCACAAATCATCTGAAGCGCATGGTAGAAAAATATCACAAATATCTTTGAGTCTCTAGCGAATAGTCTAGTCTCTTTAATTTTTTTTCCCATTTTGAAAGAATATTCAAGAATATTTTGGATTTTCATATCCAGATACAATATATGATAAACCTCAATTCATGAATTCAGCAAATTTGAAGATCTCAACAGACTAACATTTTGGCTATTCTTGAATATCATTTCGTCATAATTTATACAAGATAAATCGAGGAACTTTCTGAGTGCCCACCAATAGAATATGTTTTCGCTTCATGAAACTTCTTTAAAAAAAAACTTTAAAGAAATATGACATGAGCTGCAGTGTTCTGCCGTTAGTATAATAAGAATAAGATCAAGCAACTAAATAATCCTTATACAATTTCAAATGATAGAGCATTAGATTGTCAAATAATATATTTATATATACATATAAAAATATCCCATACAAACTCAAGTCTCAACTTGAGCTGCTGCAAAGCATTTTCTCACTGTCCATCGCGCTATAATTTACAAGAGCATTATTGGTCAATAGGTTATGGCTGTGCAGCATCCACAGTTTCCAACTATATGAGTGTGAGCGTGAGTGTGTGTGTCTGTGTGCCCTAAGGCATTAGCATAGACTGACTGCAGTTTAATGGGCCACACAGACAACGCTGCTCACTAATTTTTATGTGCACAGCTTGCGGCTCTTTGGGTTGCAGCCCACTTTAAACGGAACTCGAAGTCAGGCAACGCCTATAAGTTTTTTTCCCCATTTTTTATTATTATTAAGTTATAAAAACTACAGCAACAACAACAACAACAACTAGAAGACAACATGCATAGAGATCTTAGCTGAGAAGTAGCCCAAATCCGACCAAAAATTGAATGCCGTCTAACGGTTATGGAGCTGACTGACAACACGTTGTCGTCACATTCCCAAGCTCACAAGCATTGCAATAAAATGAGATTTTATAACTGAAAAAAAAAGTAGAGGAAGAGGAAGGCGAACAAGAACTAGTGGAGGCAGTCCCCAAAAATATCCAAGACAGTTCTATAAACAGTGAGAGGCAAAACAAAAAAAAACAAAAAAAACTAGACAAAGGTCGTCACAGCAAGTGAAAATAGCAAAGTAGAAAACCGAAAACAATTATGGGCAGCCAGGTGTTAATTTCAAGTTCGTTGCCTAAGTCATTCGTTTTTGTCGGTGCTTCGTTTTGAATGTTGTAAGTGGAGCGCACGGGCTGCGCCCAGTGAATGCGAATGAGGGGCGTGCGAGCCGGCCGGCAAAAGGCCATAAAAAACCTTAAAAAAAAAAAAATGAAACACATTCACATATATTTCATTATTATTATTATTATTCTTACTTATATTATTATTATTACGTTGTTGTTGTTCTTGTTGGGCTTTGAGCGTACGTTTAACGTTTTCGTTTGACTTCGTTTCGTTTCGTTTCATTTCCGTTTTGACCCACGTCAAGTTCAAAGGTTGTGAACCACACAGCAACAACAGCAACAACAATAACGAAAAATAAATATATACGATAGCAGCAGCAACGACAATAACAAGAACAACAACAGCAACAACAACGACGGTTGCATTTGACAACAAACGCCTAGCTGGCAACATCTTCTTGGAAGCAAACGCTCTGTGAGAGCAACAACAATAGCAACAGCAAAAGCAACAGCAACAGCAGCAGCAGCAGCAGCGGCAGCAACAATGACAGCGACGCCGACGTCGACGTCGGCTGCGGCGAGAAAGCAACCTGCAAATAGCGCGTTGCTCCGCGAAGCTTTTACGGTTAAGCGGCTTTTAGCGGTAAGTCCACATGAATAAAACAACAAATAAAACACACACACACACACACACACGCACACACACACACACACACACACACACACACACACACACACACAGCAATGCATTGCAGTGTTGACAAACATCGTTCAATTCGCTAAAAAAAAAAATCTGCCATTGATCAGCGCCAAACGGGGTTGCCACACCATTTCATATTTTTTGGGGCGTTGCCAATGCGAACTGCTCCCAAAAATAAAACTTCAATTATTGTCAAAGCATTGTTCGGCTTAAGCATATTTCTATATATAAGTACAAAGTTTTTGGCGTGGGCTGTTCGGCATTTACTTAAGCCTCGACTTTGACTTTGATCGTGGGCCGTTGGCCAAGTTTTTACAGCTGTTATAGCCGCTTCAGCTTGAGTGTGTGAAAGAGCTGTGAAGTCGGCCATTGGGTCAAACGTTGTCTGATAGATGGCCAAGGCGTCGATGCTGTTGATGATCACCATCATTGCCAACATCATTATCATCATCGTCTTCCACTACAACTCTTTCAGTTAGCTTAACTGTTTGCCTAGCAGGGCGTCCGTCACTCCAGCTCTCTGAATAATGTACGCAAATTAATCTAATAAAAAAAACGGTGGGAGTTACACTTTTTATTTTGTTCAGATTTAGGCTTGGGAATACACAAAGGGCCCTTTATGCCTTAGGTGTGCCTGTCGTTGGCACGCTAGCCAACTTAACTTTTGAATTATTGAAGCAATAAATGTTCTCTTGAAAATGGCTGAGAACTGGAAATGTGCATTTCATAAATGTGGGGTAAAAGCGTATTCCAATTAATAACGAGAGAAGAGTGGAAGACCAAATTGATTTGAATGTGAAAGAAAAGTTTTTAGGTAATAAGAATATAATTTTTATTAAGATAGGCTAGGGCTGGGAGAAGGAAATATAAAAAAAAAAAAAAAAAAAATCTAAATATAATATGGAAAATTCATTACAAATGAATAGGCAACTAAGGATTCAATTAAACTAATTATTCAAAGATTTTATTTTGTAATATGATACATTATGATATGTATGATATACAAATAAAATATTTTATTAAACGATTTTATTTTGTAATATAATGAATTATCATATGTATGATATATATTATATTTTTTATATAAGACATTTTTATTAGTGAGTCCTTTTAATAAGGTCCAGTATATATGAGAGCTGGTAATATTTCTTAATAAGATTCTATGAATTAAGTAATTTAATATCAGTTGGCTGACTCATAGAGCTCTTGACTTAACTATCTTCAGCCTTGAATTACCCTTCTTATGCAACTCTTTCAGAATTTTCTATACACATATACATATATATACATTAATATATATATACATACATATATATCCCAGCATCTTCCTTTTCTTCCTCCACAAAATCGTAGTGCAATTATTTATATTCACATTTTTTGCTGTTTGTTTAACCGTTGCTCGGTCTTAGCCTTGGTCAGCAGCCGTTTCACCTGCATTTCAGCTGTGGGCAGCTGTGCCTGGCCAAAGGTCAGCAGACAGTCTGGCGCCCAACGATCACAGACTGCAACAGCAACAACTACAGCAACAACAACAACAGCTGCAACAAATGTACGAACGTAATTTGTAATTTGTAAAACACGAAAAATGATTTTCTGCTGTTGTTGTTGTTGTCTTTGTTGCTTGTGTAATTTTGTGGTCCTGCTGCTGTTCTTTTACGATGCTGCCAGTAAATTACGAGTGCCGGCAACCGAGGCGTGCGTTCAACTTCTTCATTAGCGCTCAAATTGCAAAAGTTGCCGTAAACAAAATATAAATCATGCCAGCTAGCAAGGCCCCGCTAAATGAATAATGTGCGTGTGGAGGTTGTATTATGATGGCCTGGCCAACACCGGCAAATCCTGTCAGCCACTTGCTAATAGCATCCTACACACGCTACTATATCGTATACCATATACACATTTATATATATATATATATATATTTCGGCTATATTTAAACTGCTATTTCTTGCACTTGAAAGTTTGCTGCTAGCCAAACAAAAGCGTCTGGCAATGAAAGTAACTTGAATGCTTAATGGGTCAACCTGAGCTGCGGAGAGTGAGAGAGAGAGGAGGTAGGAGAGGGAGAAGCAGACACTGGTATAGGTCTAGTCTTTCATATGCTGGCCACTCTAATGGGCCAACAACAATAATCACATTCTCTGCTCGTGCTTAAAAGCCACTCGAAAGCATAATTAAACAATTTTTTTTTTTTTTTTATTGACTCTTTTCTTTTATATTGATGCTGCCGCTGAGAATTCAGAATTGAGAATGGAACTGAGATTCTGTCTTTGTCTTTGTCTTTGCCTTCGACTCTGACTCTGTCGATGCTTTTTTAAACTGCTGCCGGTTTCCATTCTTTTGCAGCTTCAATAGCAATTGCTGATGCTGCTGATGCTGATGCTGCTGCTGCTATTGAGTGTTTTGTTATGAGCCCACGTTTAGTTTTGCGGCTTGTGTCAGCCAACAGCAATGGCAACAACAACAACAAAAATTCAATTGAAATTGAGTAGAAATTGTGGTTGTTAAAAAATTGTTGGGAAAAAAAAGTGCATAAGGCCAAATTCTAACTGTAATCTATATATTCATTTGGCATAGAAATAGAGGAAGTCAAAATCAATTTAGCTAAGTGTGGCAATCAAATAATAGAATTTTATAGAGGCTTATCACATATTTACAATGCTTTTAACTTTGTGAGGCTGAAGAAATGTTCAGCTGATATTGCAGTAGAGATGCTCTACTCTATAGAGACCATATATATAATATATGATATGATAGAATATTTTATGATTTTTTATTGACCAAAATTTAAAAAACTATTCAACATAATATAAAAATTCTGTTTAAATTTCACAAAAAAAAAAAATAT